CCCCAAAACCCCAAAACCCCAAAACCCCAAAACCCCTCTTTAGCAACAAAATTGAAATATTATTTACTCAGAGTTATGGATTAAGCAGTCACAGGTGTATGGGATCTTCCAGAGATCTGTTTATAGAACCAGTATGAGTCAGATGTGATTTGTTGTCTACTTTCTAAATCTTTCAATACTTCAACAACTCTTTGATTAGCAGATGACTCAAGGCCTTGATTTGATAAGCTCTTTAATCCTTCGCAAAGATCAAGACAAGAGATGTGATTTTTGTAGAACATTTTTGAGAATTCATTTGTTGAATAGTACTCTAATCCAAATGATTTATCAGCAGGCAAGAAAGTCTCATTTGTGTATGGGGCATTATCAACGTACACTACATCAGTTCCAAAGTTCTTTTCATTATAAGTTTCAAGGATTCTTTCAATAAGTTGTCCATCATTGCAATGGTATTGTCCAAGAGCCCAGATAGAACCTGCAAGACCATCAGAATGCAAGTATTGAGCTTTCTTCTTCAGGATTGGGAAGAGAATGTTCTCATAAGCATCTTGATCTCTAATTCCATTCTTCTCCATAGCATAAAGAGCATTAGCAGCAAATGAGACTGGAAAATCTAAATGTCCAAGAGTCTTCATAATTGAAAATAACTCATTAAGGCTCCTAAAGCCACGGTCCAATTCTTGATCAACCTTCATTATAGTCTTTGAATCAAAGCTTTTAGTCACAAAACTATCAAACTTGACTGAGTCAGATCTCTTATCGAGCCTAGTCTGAAGCATCTCTTTTTCTCTAGTTCTTAAGAAAAGGAAGTTTCCAAGCTCAACAGGCTTATCAGTATACCCTGGAGAGATCTTGAGAGTATCACTGAGATGAGCCCTCCAAACGAGTTGCTTTCCTCCTTTAGTAGCACTAGTAGGACAAATCGTCTGACTTTGAGTGTAAAATGGGAAATATCTTCTTAAGAAAGGGAACACTCCGCGTCTCCTGAAAAGGTATGTAGGAACCATAATATAATAATTATATTTTATAATATAAAATTTTGCTTGGGGTTTTGGGGTTTTGGGGTTTTGGGGTTTTGGGGTTTTGGGG